CCCCCTCCCCCCCCCCCCCCCCCCCCCCCCCCCCCCCCCCCCCCCCCCCCCCCCTCCTCCCCGCCCTCTCCCTGCCCCCCTCCCTCCCCCCCCTCCCTCGCACTTCTTCTTCCCTCTTCACTCCGCCACACACAGCAAGCATTTTTTCTTTTGAGGCTATGCCAGCATGAGCACGGTCAGCAGTGCAGAGCCCCGACCTCGGATGCAGCAGTTTCGATAGGAAGTTAGGATAGAACCATTCCAGAATTTGAACTTGGCAACACAGCATGATGTTCCACAGTCATGTGTCGGACATGCCAGTGGTTCTGAAGCAGAGTTTACCAGGACCATGACTGCAGATTCATGCCGGAGCCCAGGCCAGATCTCGATGAACTGTTGGGACCTCGGCAACCGCAGCTGTCAGCACATGCAAAGCTGAGTAATTCATTGTTGCTAGCAGCAGGTGGGCACACACATACACAATCTCGATCTCACTGACCGTGCTTGTTTCACTTTTCCAGCCGGCAGCAGAAGTCTTCGTCGCCATCACATCTAGCCCGCGAAAAAACTTCAGACCTCAGAATCCCACTCCCGAGCGACTTGTGGTTCAGTCAGTGTAGTGCGAGAACTACTGAGGTCCCTGCACTGGCGGTGACAACTTCGTCATGGCCTTGATTTGCAGTACACCCACTCCAGCTTAACCCCCAACTGTTGAAGCTTTTGCTTTAAGCTGAACATACATGTGTGCTGGGTGCATGTGCTAGGGTCCCTGCCCGTCACTGTGAGTCTGACTCAGAGCGCTTTCGTTTTGATCGGACCTTGTTGCAACATAACATACACCACTGACTTGATCTTCATGTATGCTTCTGAGTCTCCTGCATCTGATGACGACTCTGAGTCACTCTGTCTCGACACCTGGGCAGGCACCATCTAGACATCCAGTCTGTCTGAGCTTTCTGATTCAGGCAGCCGCCACTTCGGTGGTCGCGGATCGCTCGGAGGCCTGAGGGTGAGCAATGAAGTAGGACTGATACCCAATGGCAACTTGAGTGGGGCCACTGCATTTGCCGGTGACGTGGGTGATCGCTCCTCTGCTGCCTACAGATCAGGTTGTTGCAAGGCACTAATAAGCTACCATGGAGTGGGAGTAGAATGTATGGAGCCTCAGTCTTCATCTCCTTGGCATTGGAAAGAACTTTCAAAGCGTCTGACACCAAAGCCTGGCAGTGAAGTCTGAGTTGAGCAGTCGGTAATGCAAAAGCAAACATTGTGCAATTTCCTGATGCGTGTCTGGGGCCTGTGATTCTTTGATCTCATCCTGGAGGACTTGAATCTCTTCATCCTGCCAGATGCAAAAGCTGTCGGAGCCCCAATCAGTCATGTTGCTCGGCCTTCCGGGCCATCAGAGTGTTGCACCGCACCAGCATGTCGTTTTCCACCATGCGTGCAACTTCCTGACATAGCAAGGTGAACGAAGCATGTTAATATAGTTCAACTCGCGAACTAACAATGAATCCGGCCTTCCTAGCATGCTTCATGGCATGTGCTTCGAGTTTCCACCTGGCCTTGTTCTCCTAGCAGCACATCACAGTAACTGTGAAAGCAAGATCGTGTTCACTGCTTGCCTGGATTGCATGGAGATCTTTGTCCTTCTGCTGCAGCACTGCCTGTGACAGTTCTGCAACATATGCTAGATTGCATTCACTTTGTCTTGACCCGCCTGGGCTTCCTCGAGCTCTTTGTCCTTTTCGTCAGTGCACACCTGTCAAAATGAAATTCTTCAACATACGGTAGATTGTATGGACCCGGAATGCTTTCCTGGGCTGCATGGAGTTCCTTCTCTTTCGCCTTCAGGGAAGCCTGTGGACACTGTGACACTTCTGCATTGCATTCACTTTGTTTTGACCCGCCTGGGCTTCCTTCAGCTCTTTGTCCTTTTCGTCACTGCACGCCTGTCAAAATGAAATTATTCAACATACGGTAGATTGTATGGACCCGGAATGCTTTCCTGGGCTGCATGGACTTCCTTCTCTTTCGCCTTCAGGGAAGCCTGTGGACACTGTGACATTCTGCAGTGCACAACTTGCCAACAACGAACCCCTAATCGCCTCCAGGCTTGTGACCATCTTTTTGCAATCCTCAGAAAAGGGCTTGCAGGATGAATGGCCTGTGATTGTGCATGGCTACCATGCCTCAAGCTGCTTCTTAAGGTCGTCGTTCGACTTCAAGTGGGCCTGGCAAGAAACCACTTGAAGAATGAGCTTCAAACTGTGTGGAAACCGGGCAGTAAAGGCCTCCTCTGCGGACTTGGCAGCCATGAGGTCCAGATTCAAGTTGCGCACTCGGCCCTGGAAACAAACAAGGCATTGGACACAAGTTTCACTTGCACAACACCAACACAAACTAGTGGCCTCCGCCATCTCGGCCCTCTCCTTGTAGTCTTTGTTGATGCCCTGCCCAAGAAAAGGTTTGTTCTGGGGACCGCGAATGATGGGATTTCCCTGCCCGGCCCTGCCTGGCAAAGAGTCAGCTGGCGAACCATGTGGTCCGATTCGCTCTGAACACTCGCCAGCCGTGCTTTGAGATCCTTGATGTCTTTCAAAAGTGGAGCCCTGATCGCCTCACGCTCAGCCTGGGTCCGTGTCCTCTCCTGGGTTCCGTCCTCGAACCTGGCACGCAGGGCCATCCCGCCCTGCCTGCCCTTTGCCTGCACCGTCGTCCTCCTTCCACCACCTTTACCCTTTCCCACTTCTTCTCCTTGCTCCTCACCTTCATCCCAGGAGCCACCATAGCCGTAGTCCCAACCGTCCCAGCTCGACCCATACTCCCAGCTCGACGACCCGGCTTGCCCGCGTCCGGACATGGCTTGTCAGCGAGGGCGAGGCTACTTGTTCCTATGTGCAACTGTGATGGATTTAAACTTCTGCATATAGTTGACCATCGATGACAAGGGCCCAAGAACCTCACCGCTCGATGAAGCTGCCATGATCTTTGTAGTTCATGAACTCAGAAACCTTCTTGGCCTTTGGTGTGCAGCACAGGACAGTGCTTGCTGCATGTTGTTGCGCCAACAGAATCCACTTCAGTGATGCATCTTGACAAAACTATGCACTCTGAGGCCTGAACACTCTGATCTTCGGCTTTCATTGAAGGCTGGCCTGCCGGTTGAATCAATGTCTTTTCTACTTCGATATAGTCGCTGCAGCTTCATGTGTGTGTGTGCGCTTTCACAGCGCCTGATGTCTTTCCGACAGAAAATAACATGCACCATGCGCTATCACAGCGCCAGAATGCTTAGCTGAGCTGTGATGTCTTTCCGACAGCAAATAACATGCACCATGCGCTATCACAGCGCCAGAAAGCTTAACTGACAGCCTACCCACCTTTGATGCAGGCAAGCCTTCTGGATGTCCATGATTTCCGCCAACTCCTCTGCAGTAGAATGTGGGGAAGGGAGGGTGGCTGCATTGTGTCTCGAAAAACGCCTGGGCGTCTCGAAATCATGGGTGGCGGTTCGAAAACTTAGGTTTACGACACCCTGTTAATTATCCCTGCTCTCGTTCCAAGCATGTTCGATCAACAGCATTGCAGAAGCTCTTTAACATGTGTGTCTACTTCCTGGGAAGCAATGCACCATGATAAGACAGCATGCTCTACCAGTAAATTTGTGAGCTTGCCACAAGCCATCCTAGCCAGGCCTTAAACACTTGTATGGGGCGGAAGTCACTTGAATAGCATGTCCCCAGAATGTTTACACAAATCGCACATTGCATTCGCACCGACACACACACACACACACACACACACACACTTTCTGCATGAGGCCGGCAGGTCATCGAAACTTTGCCATCATGGGCCATGTTGCCTCTGGCAGATGAGGAAACAGCTCATTCCTGGACAACATGCTCGGGGGAAGCATGCTGCCAGCGGCTTCAAACCATGGCAGGGGTGACTTCTCCGGCTGATAACTTCCTGATGCCAACTTCTTCAGAGCATCAGAGCCGGCTCCCCGGCTGAAGGGCGCCCTCTCCACCACACCTGCTAGCTTTATCAAATCCTTTCGCCTCTGGTCGGACACGGTTTGACGCGGCACCAGGGGAATGTCCTGGAAAGGAGGAAGTCTGCCGAGGCGACTGTGTGGAAGAACCAAGACCGGAGGATGGGTGTCCTTGTCCAGCATCCTGCTTTTGCAGACTACAAACACATCTTTGGTATCACCTTCTTTGCTTGCACGTGGAAGTCTTGACATCTCCAAAGCTGTCAGGTCCATTCGCCTTTTGTAGATGTACGAATGAGGAACGTCCTGCAGATGATCTTGTCCTTTTGGCTTCCTCGGCATGAATGCACTGGATAGCTTGATTCCCATTGTGGACAGCCAGTCTTCGTAGGCACGGATATCCGAGCTGTCCTGCACCAGAAGTGCCTCGCCGCAGTTTTCAGCTCGGGCCTGCATTGCGGCTTGCATGATGTCTAGAACATCCTGCAGACAATCAAAACTTGACCTTCGCAGCACCGGTAGAAACTCTGCAAAAAGAGCGTCGATATCCTCGTGAGTGTGACCACGAACTAGGTAGTTTGCGGTCACAGTCTGCATCTTTCCCGCTGCGACCAGATACGAAAAGTACAAGTGGGTAGTCGAGTTTTTCGAGAAGCTGCAAGTATTATCTGACTGCAGCACCAAGTGGCTTGGTGGATCGCCCTTCTCGGAAATTTTCTGCACAACACGGTTGATGATTTCCACCAAGTGATCGGCTCCGTGCTTGACTGACTCCTGGGTTCACAGATCGAACACACAGTACAATCACTGAAACATGGGGCATCAGGGGCACACAACGACATCAATCTTGTTCACAACTGGCCGGGTCTCATCATCAGAGACGAAGATGCCCAAGCAATGGCCATGGCACATTGCAGCAGTCAACACAAAGCGAGGTCGATGAAGCCCCTCAACTGATTTGGGAAGGCGATCGTAGTTCATCTTCGGGTATGCAAATTTGGCCTTGTCCATAGAGTCACAAACAAGACTCAGCAGTCCAGCTTTTGCACGGGATGCATACCGGATGTGATAGTAGAGAAGCCTGTCAGCATACTGGCAGGCCAAGTGTGCACGCCATGCAGCTGCATGGCGCACACGTTCATGCAAAGGTAAACCCTGACTGTGCAGCAGCTGTTTTGCCTCCCAGCAGACAGTGCATTCGGCATGAGATGATTTCTGTCTGAAATCTAGCACTTGCTTGTACCAGTATTGGTGCCACACACGCATAAATGTGCTCCATGAAGGGATCTGGAACTGCGAATCGGAATCTGAACGTTCATGTGGCTGCAGCTGTGCACGCTGGGCTTGACACCAAGCCAGAAACTGATACCAGAGGTCAGATATCTGACCTGGTGGCAAAAACCGGAGGGGCGCTTGCATTCTGCCATCACCCTTGCCAAAAAGTGCAACAACCCGCTCGGGGATTGAAGTGTCCAAGTTCCACAGAAACGACTTCTGGAAAGTCTCCGAGGGAGCTGCAGATTGTGAGCCATCTGTGTCCAATGCTTGCTCAGCAAAGCTTGTGCCATCCCCTTGCATGACCTCAGGCAATGTTTCGGCAGCACTCATGTACTGGTCCATAAGGAAATGATGGACAATGTCCTGCTGAGGGTGTGGACGGGGGCGAGTTGGCATATTGTCCAAACCACTTTTGCGAAGGTCGGGATCCCCATGCATCATTCGCAGTACAGTGGTGGGGGAATGGCCCAGCAGTCGGCAAAAAGCCCTGAAGCAGACATCCCGACCATCAAGCTGCCATTGTTTCCGCTTCATTGCAGAATTTGTGGTCTCCATGTCACGTACCTGCTCACTGCACTTCTCACCATTGAACATGTTGAACAAAACCTGGTACTGTGTGGCCGTCGAAAGGTCATGCCATGCAGAAGCCAAAACCTTAACCTGCTTCACCGAGAACTTCGTCATGCAATTCTTCTTGCATCCGCACTTGCCTCGTAGTGCTTGTGTGATCCTATCAATGTCTTTCCCATGAGCACTGTAGACGTTGTCGTGATCTCTTTCTTTGGGCAGAACCTTTAGCAAGGGCATGCATATGTTCATGATCTCCGTCACAACTGGCTGTGAAGATGCTGCCTCTGGCACACACGGCGGCGGCATTGCCTCATCGACCGGAGGCTGCATCCAATCATCTACCGGAGGCTGCATCCAATCATCCACCGGAGGCTGCATCCAGTCATCTTCTGCTGGCTTCACCTGCATCTGAGACGAAGCCGGCTGCCGTCCCCTCCGGGACGGCTGCCTGTCTTCCAACTTTGGCTTCATCCAAGAAGTGTCAGGCTTCAACCTTTTCCGGGGCGGTTTCTCAGACGGCTGGGTTGCAGAATCTGACTCCTCCAAAGGACAAGTCATCCATGACTCCGACATGTTGGATTCAAGCACTTCTATACTAATTATGCCCAATTATGCCTCATCCATGATGTACAGATGTTTCGATCACTGGTGCATCAACGAATGCTCTCATGACACACAAGAAAGTCTCTCTGCCGCCAGCTGCGCCAACATTCAGCTCCAGCCTTTAGATTTCATTTCTTCTCAAACACAGTTGGCAGCACTGCATACCCTGATACTGAAAAAGATTGCAGAAGAAAAGGGTTGGAGTGTGTGGATGATATGATCCAACAGTACAGCTGCAAACAAGCTAAAACAATCTCGTTGCTCTGTTCCTCTCCAATTCCATTCTTTTCCATATGTGCACTCTGATGCCTCGAAACGTCAGCAGCAGTGGATCCACAGCTGCACTAATTAAGGCACACCGACGAAGTCCAAGCATTGAAAACTCACTCCAAATTTCGGCACCAATCGTCATCTGAGGCACTGGTGGGCTGAGGCTTCCGGTAGTGCAGCATCCATGCAGCCACCATAGCCTTGGCCATCTTCAGGGGGTATTCCCCCGAAGCTTTCAACACAGCCGCCTTCCCTGTGGTCTTCACAACTCCATGCGCATCCACCTTCCTTGTATGCAGCTTCTTGTGCTCCTTCTTGCACTTGCACGGAAAGTTTAAGTCACCCATCCAGCTTGCAGTGCCAACAAGCTTATAGGGTTTCTTCTCCTTCTCCCGAGCTGTAACGAAGCGACAGCGGCAGCAGATGGCGACAGTGACATGGGCGGCCATGTAAGACAAAGTGCGAGCGATGGGCTCATAACTCCAGAAATAATTAGCCTGGGGGTTCTCCAGGATGGGGAAAACCCCACGGACCCAGCTCAACAGAAACAGCAGAATGCTCAGTCGAGCCATGGAATTGCCCTGCTCCACTTTAAACCGCGTCTCGTCACCAGCTGGGTTGCTTTTCGAGCGGCCACTCTGGCTGTAGAGGTGACAGAAGCTGCCGCAATCACAAGCAATCCAGGCCATCCCACCAGGGCGGACACGTGCCACCATTCTTGTGGCACGTGTCGCACCTAAGTTGGTCAGAGCATCGTTTAAGGGGTTCTCCAGGATGTCGTACTTCTCGGCTTTCAAGTCTCGCAAATGCATAGCAGTATAGATGTTACCCACACCAGAAAAGATCTCGCATCCATCCAGTTCCGGTTGCACTCCATCTGCTATGCGCAGCATGTCCTCGAAGGTGAGCCCAGCACTGTGAATGTCTCTGCTCCATATGAGTGCCTGGCGCCGCATGTGATCCATCCCAAGAAGGATTGTAGGAGCTGGCTTGGGTGCTCAGAGGTTTCTGGGTCGCTGTGCTGTCTGGAGGGTCTTGTCTTAGAAAGGTCTCATGTTATCTGCAGATAGAATGTTGACTTCTCGACGATAATTGGAGCCTCTGAACATCCGGGTACACACATGTGGCATGCAACCATGCGGACA